ATAGATTCTATGGTGGCCTATAGTCTCAAGAACAAGGTCCCAGGCACGCAGGAGATGCCGCTCTATCAAAACCGTACCCTTCGTACCTAGACCAAGTACCCTTCCCTCTGAACAATCAAAAGGGGAAGCTCCCTTGACTCAATGGTACTATGTCTCCGCACCAACATACTGCTCACTTTCAGGCGGCCTGTCGGGAGATGGAAACTGACAGACTCCTCCTCCTCCTCTAGTTCATCAAAACTCTTGAAGAACCAGCCTTCTAGTGGTATGCTCGGATGCCTCCCGACTCGGTACACACTTTGTAAGAGATGAAGCAGTTGTTCTACCAACGCTTCTATGAAGTTCAATTGAACGTGGAGACCATCAAACTCCTCACCCTGATGCAAGACCCTAGTGAGCCGATTGACAAGTTCATCATCCGCTGGAGAGAGTTGGCGACCTTCCATGCCACTCCCATGATGGAGAAGGAAGAGGTCCAGACTTGCATACGGAACATGCTTCCCGAGCTCGCTCTACATATCTAGGCATCCAATCCACCCTCCTTGTCAGAGCTCATCTCCAAGGCAGTTCATATTGAGGGATTATTCAATCATCACGGCAACCGTCGTCAGCAACCTGCCAGCTCTAACTCTCGCTCCAAAAGTCGGGGTAGCAAAAAGGCAGTAATCAGCTTGGCCATCACTATGGTTGACACCAAAGGCACGGTTCCACAAACCCTGGTCCTTTCCAAGGCGCAAGCGTTTCCGGCCGGCGACAAGAAGCAGTCCTACAACAACGTTCAACCTCCAACCTCCTCAAAATTCTAAGCAAAACGACTACTAGGTCTAGCACCAAAATAAGGTTACTCCTTTGACACAGAGTAGACACCTACACTACTTTGACTGCTACTAGAAAAGAACATGATACAGTTGCCGAAGGCCAATATTGTGGAGTCGATCGGGCAGGAGGCAAATGAGAAGTACTGCGCTTATCACAAGAGGGTATGTCACCCCACTTACGACTGCTATAAGCTCAATGAGATGATCGAAGCCCTTATCAACATGGATCAGATAAAGCTAGAAGATTTGAAAAGAGCGTTCGGGGCAATTGAGGTTTCTCACATAGTCACAATCTAAGAGGACGATGGGGCTCCCCCTATCCTTCGTGCATTTATTTTCATAATTCTTGAAGAAGGGCTCGTCACTCTCAAGCCGGCAAGGCAGCCCAAGTTCCTGTCTCCAGGAATGGAGAACCTCTGATGTGCATATCACCAGATATGAGGCCATGATGTCAGCGAATGCACTGGCTTCCACAAGCTCTTGGCATAAATGATGCAGCAGTGTCAAGAAGTTCAAGGTAACTCAGAAGGACACCCTTGAGTCCCTCTTTTGCATGAGCAAGAAGACCCCCTGACGTCAGCCCAAGGAAGCACTAAGCTAGACCCTCTGTAGGCCCTCTTCAAGGCAATGCTCTAACAAGGACTTGTCACTCTCATGCCTGCTAGGCAACCGAGGTGTCTTCCCCAGGGCACAGATAACATCTGGTGCCCATACCGCTAAGTATGGGGCCACAAACGCAAAGAATGCTCTGGGTTAGAAGCTATAGTCGTAGAGAAAGTCCAGCAGGGCCACATCATTTGTACGGTTCTCCCAGAATGGATCCAGTCTGTCGTTCCCATTCCAAAAGAAGCCACACTACCGGGCCCTCCTGAGTATATTTTTGAGCCTTTGACCACTCAGCCCTGGAAAGTCTACCATTGGCGAAGTAGGCTCAAAGCCTTGAAACGTGAGGCGGTTTACAAAGCAAGGATACTCGCCAACTTGATTGGACGGTCCAGACACCCCCTCAAGAATCTTAGAGGAGACGGCAAGATTTTAGGTCGGCTTGTCGAAGGAATCATCCTCCTCAACCCCACAACGGTCAAACCCGGGGCAAGACCTAAAATATCCCCTGGGCACGTCCAACTCCGGTGATGATGCAAAAAGATGCCTAGAATATTTTAACTCTTCTTCTCCACCTCCTCTTTTATTTTCTCCACAGGTGCAGCTCGACGGTGTCAAAACTTCGACACTCTATATAAAGAATTTTGAGACACTAGCTTCACCCAGCCATAGCAAGAGCGCCTCAGAGAGATGCTGGCTCAGGCGACTGGATTCTTGATAGCCGTCGATGCCCTGTCAACCCGAGCACAGACCGAGTCATCCTCAAATTTCCACTCCCATGAGGCCTCCCACAAGATTCAGGTGCATGAAGTGTCACCCAGCTCAGGCAAGCACCAAGTGATCCCAATCATGAAGTCGTGGACACCCCATTCAAAGTTGACCCTTCCATCACTTAAATTAGCCAAAGAACGGTACTCTCCCACATTGTGCCCCTCTTTGAAGCCGAGATGCCCAGATCATGGGCTTCTATATTCGAGGTCAATGAGAATTTTGATGAGTCTCCTGATGAGGAACTCTAGGAAGCTTCAGAAGAGTGGGAAGAAGGTGGTCAGGCCACGATTGATGAGCTTGAAGAGATCAACCTGGGGACGAGGCCACCCTAAGGCCAACTTTCATCTCAGCAAACATGTCCCCAGAGGAAAAAAAGAGTTATATCTCCATCCTCCGAGAAAATCGGAACATCTTCGCCTGACACTATCATGAGATGCCCAGTCTAGACCCTCAGGTTGCTGTCCATCGCCTAGGTATTGATCCAACCATCAAATCCATGAAGCATAAATCAAGGAGGTTTAGGCCCGACCTCGAGTTGCAGATCGATGCTGAGGTGAACCAGCTCAGCAAGAAGGATTCATAGGTGAAGTCAAATACCTAAAATGGCTGGTAAATGTTGTCCCAGTCAAGATAAAGAATGACTAAATCACTATATTGACTTTCACCATTTGAGCACTGCCTGCCCCAAGGATGACTTCCTCCTCCCGTTCATTGAGATGCTGATCGACTCCATAGCTCATTGCAAAATATTCTCGTATATGGATGGGTATTTCAATTATAATCAAATAAAGATGGCGTCAGAAGATAAGGAGGCTACTACGCTCTTGACCCCAAGAGGTGTCTTTTGCTACACTGTGATGGCTTTCGGGTTAAAGAATGCCGATGCCACGTATCAAGGGGCCATGATGACTATATTCAAGGACCTGATCCACCGGGAGGTCGAGTGTTATGTGGATGACCTAGTGGTGAAATCTGAAACAAAGGACGCCCACATACAAGTCCTCAAAAGGTATTCGAACGATTGCGGCATCACCAACTCAAGTAGAACCCCTTGAAATGCACGTTTGACGTACGCTCAAGAAAGTTCTTAGGGTTCATTGTGAGGCATCGAGGACTGGAGATCGAGCAGGTCAAAATCAAGGCAATTCAGGACATGTCACTGCCTGCAACCCTCCATGAACTGCGGTCTCTTTAACGACAACTCGCCTACATTCGAAGGTTCATTTTGAACCTTTCAGGGCGATGCAGGCCCTTTTCACATCTTCTAAAGAAAGACACTCCATTCATATGGGATGAGGCATGCCAAGCTGCACTCAATGATATCAAGCAATACTTATTGAATCCTTCAGTCCTCTCTACACCAGTGTTGGTAAGACCTCTCATCTTGTATGTGACCACTCTTGATGAGTCACTCAGGGAACTCCTAGCGCAAAACAATGATGGAGGAAAAGAGACAACGCTCTATTATCTCAGCCGCAGGATGAAAGGGGCTCCCATCGAGAAGATGTGCCTAGCCTTGATCTTTGTGGTACAGACACTCCACCATTATTTGCTCAGTCACGTGGTCAGGTTAATCTCTAAGGCGAACCCGATCAAGTTCCTAATGACCCAGCCATGCTTGTTAGAACATTTGGCCAAGTGGGCATTATTGCAGATGGAGTTCGACATCACGTATGTACCACAAAAGGCTGTCAAAGGTCAAGCCCTAGCAGACTTTGTCGTGGCTCACCCAGTTCTTTCAGAATCTTCCCTATCGAGCGACCTCCCAGATGAAGAATTTTTCTATACGGTGCTAACTCAGCCATGGGAAATGTAATTTGACAGAGCATTCCAGTCTGATAAAGGCAGCACTGGAGTTGTGTTCTTAACTCTCAATGGTAGAATGATCCCTCTATCCTTCTCACTTGTAGAGGCATTTTCTCATAATGAAGCTGAGTATCAAGCCCACATAATCGGATTGGAAATCGCCTTAGAGCTAGACCTGAAACACTTGAACATCTTCAAAGACTCTAAGCTGGTCATCCATAGCATAAGGGGATTTATGATGTAAGGAAAGATGCCATCAAGACTTATCATGACACGGTCAAATCCTACATGGCCTTGTTTGATGATTTCTCCCTAAGTCATATCTCTAGAAGGCTAAACTCGCAGGCTGATGCACTCTCGAAGCTTGATGCCACCATTCAATTGTCTTCATCAGGGCCCACTCCAGTCTAGGTATCCGAATGAAGACACGTTGACTTAAGAGCCAAAGTTGACGTAGATGACAAGAGGGATGTCTTCTCTGAATGCCCGCCTTAGCCATTCGGGGCACTCCTCGCAGCTAAGGATGTTGTTGAGGTAGAGCAAGAAATGTCCTAAGAAAAAGGATCCAAAGACAAGTACCGGAAGCCAAAATTCTTTGACTTAATGTGTTCGGAGGTTGAACAAGTAGAGGACTGGAGGGAGGCTATCATGAACTTCATAAAGCATGGAAGGCTAACTCAAGATCGGGCAAAATGCAATGACATATGACAAATGTCCACCAAGTACACCCTTCTCGATGGAGAAGTCCTCTTTCGTCAGTCATTTGATGAAATTCTCCTTAGATGTGTCGATACACAAGAAGAAAGCAAAGTACTCGAAGAAGTGCACTCGGGTAGCTATGGACTGCATCAGTCCAGCCCTAAGCTCTACGAGCGCATACACAAAATCAACTATTACTGGCCTTCCATGGTGGTTGATGCCCAAAACTATGCCAAAAGATGCCAGGTGCGCTAGATCCACTCAAGCCTCATTCATCAACCCCCGGAGCCTCTCCACACTACGATGACATCGTGGCCCGTTTCCCAATGGGGTATGGACATTATAGGAGTGATCAATCTTCCTTCTGTATTGGGCCATGCCTTCATTCTGGCAGCGATAGGCTACTTTTCCAAGTGGGCTGAAGTGATCCCTCTCAAGCAAGTTACAGGGACTGCGGTAGCCAACTTCATGCGTCATCACACCATCTACCGATTCGGAGTTCTGGACTGGATAATATCTGAGAATGGCCCCCAGTTCAGAATCCATCATGTTGATCACCTGGTTAACCAGTTCAGCTTCGAGTGGAAGTACTCGGCTATGTACTACCCTCAAGCCAACAAATTGGCTGAGGAGTTCAACAAAACTCTGTGCGGGGAACTCTGAAAGTCAGTTTCGAAATCAAAGAAGAATTGGCACGAGAAACTGCCTGAAGCTGTGTGGGCTTATCCCACCACTACTCAGAATGCTACAAACTCAACTCCTTATTCCTTGGTCTATGGAAGTGAGGCAGTCTTACCCCTCAAGGTTAAAATACCCTCACTCCTGTCTCTATACATCAGGGACTAACTGAAGACGAGAGGGTCAAACTCCGTTACCAAGAGTTGGATGCCCTTGATGAAAAGAGACTAGAGGCCGAGCAGAACCTCGAGATCAATCAAGGAAGAATGAAGAGAGCCTTTAGCAAATCTTTCAAGGTTCACTCATTCGCTCATGGGGATCTAGGCCTAGCAGTCAAGAGACCGATTGTTATGCACGGGTGCAACAAAGAAAAATTCGAGCCTAAATGGGAAGGTTCGTTCATATTAAAAAAGGTCATGCCAAACGAGGCCTATGTCCTGACAAACTCAGATGGAGGAGAGGTGATGCCCCCTATCAATGGATGATACCTGAAGAACTACTATCCTTGACGTATCCCTAAAAAGGCAGTATGTGCAGTAAGAAAAATAGGGAAATGAAAAAAAAGAACACCAAGCTATTTCAAAAGAAGTTCATTTTTTTCATTGCAATAAAAAAGAGTTACAAGTTATAATCAAAGGCCCATTACTAGGGAAGTTACAAAGCTCTTACGTTTGAGGATGGCTGCAGATAAAAAAGAAACACTCTCCTCATGAAGAAGAAGCAAACCCACCAAAGAAATGCTCTCCTCACTAAGAAAAAAGAAAAACCACTTGGAGAAGTTAGCTTTAGTGCCACCAAAGAGGATGGTTACAAGCCAAAAGAAGGTGCCAACCATATTCGAGTCAGGTTCAATTCATCTGACGAAGAGTGGTTGGCTTCCAAAGGACCGGCCCACGACGAAACAATATGGACTTCGCGGCTGCGCTGGAGGATTTAGCTTCCAACAAACTGCGGCGGCACAACCTTCTCGTTTGCCATCACTCTTGACCCCCACAAGACAGCGCCGTCCATGATCATCACTGCCCATGACTCAACACCATGCGCAACCATCGTCGTGTGGTGCCGTGTTCTATCATCACCAAGGGAAAATGATCGTTGCGACCAGCATACTCCTTGAACACGACTATCATCATACGTGGTCTAGGGACACACGAAGGCGGCACCACATACGACTTAATGTCGTGCATGTCCTTGTCATACCTCGGTTCCCACCATCCCCAATTCCCAAAAGGCATTATCCTTGTGCTTCCTCAGTTTTCCCAGCAACCTGCATGCGGCGACCGTCCACCTTCTCATGACCTTTCATCTCCTCCGTAACCCTTCAGATTTAGCAGGAAACACTGCTTTGTCAGCAAGAAATTCCGGTCTGACCATGTTCTTTCCCCTACTGGCGTTTCTCCTCTCCGCCAGGATAGCACTCCCGACCATCGAAAAATCCTTCCCCACCTTCTACTGGTTACTGGAGTTAGCGAAAATGATCGAAAGTCCCTAGAAGACTTCCCTGCAACCCCGAGGTCTTCCCTTCCCCTTGGGTTTTCACTTCAGCAGTTCACTAAAGTTCACTGGAATTCCACATAATTTTTAGTGAGCCCAATGCATCCCCTTCCCTTTCTCCTCCAACAACCAGAGGACTGACAGAGCCCTCTGAACTCTCTACGACCTCCTAAGCAGCAGAACGACTGGAGGAGAACTCGAACCCCAGCAAGGCACCTCTGTAAATCTTGCTAAGGCCTTGAGAAGTCCTCTTCCTTTCCCAGAAAGCTTTGACGCTAGTAAAAAAATGTTTGCAATCACCTTGTGAAGCTTACCACTTCCTGAAGCTTGCCAGAAAAACTCTTAAGAGCCTGTTTCTGCAAGTTTTGACAGGAACGTTTCTGTCAGAAAATCCCTCTCCAAAGGCTCTAGCTGTCACTCAAAAAATTGTTTTACCCTTCGATAAAACAGTCAATGGGGTTTTCCCCCTTTTATACCCAGCGATGCTGCAAACTGCCCTTGACAAACATAAAATGACATTCCAATCCCTAGTTCTTGAGGGCAGTAAGACCAGGCACGGTCGGGTGAAGCCCGAGACCTGAAAAGGTCATCGCTGCAAGCTTCATTTAAAGGTCAGCGATGCACGCTCTATCAAAGGACTATCGCCGCACTCCTCATCTGGAGGCTATCGCCGCACGCCTCATCTGGAGGCTATCGCCGCACGCCTCATCAAGGGTCATCGTTGCACACCTTGTCAAGAGGTCATCGTCGTGCATTCGTCGGGAGCTACCGTCGCGTGCTTCACCAAGGGGCTTAAAGTCGTGTGCACCATCCAACACTTAGTGCCACACGCATGCTGTGGCACTTTTAGCCGAACCATCGTCCTATACTCTCAGGAAGTTCAGCCCCTGCACCACAGCCTCACTCCTCAGGGAGTCTAGCCCCTGGTGATGGCTCTACTCCCCATGGAGTCACATTCCCTCACCATGCCACGATCCATGCTGGATGGCCTTAAACTATGCAGCCAAGGCCTAGTTGCATGACCTTAAACTGTAAGGTAAAAGTTATATGACTTTAAACTGTAGCGGTGGTCTAGTTGCACGACCTTAAACTGCATAGTCCTTGTTTCATGACTCTAAACTGTAGCGAAGGTCTAGTTGCATGACCTTAAACTACAAGGTCCAAACTATATGACCGTAACTGTAATAGTGTTCCAGTTGCACAACCTTAAACTGTATAGTCCTTGTTTCATGACTCTAAACTATAGCGAAGGCCTAGTTGCACTATATGACCTTAAACTGTAGCGGTGGTCTAGTATCATGACCTTAAACTGACACTAAACTGTAGCGAAGGTCTAAATTATATGACCTTAAACTACATGGTCCAAATTATATGACCTTGAACTACATGGTCCAAATTATATGACCTTAAACTGTAACGGTGGTCTAGTTACACAACCTTAAACTGCATAGTCCCTGGTTCATGACTCAAAACAGCATGACTATGGTCCAACTGTGTGACCTTAAACCATAGTGCACGTCCTGGCTGCATGATGTTAAAATGTTTAGCATGACGGTCCAAACTACATGACCTTAAAATGTAGTAGAGGTTTAGTTGCATGACCTTAAAACTGCATAGTCCTTACTTCATGACTTTAAGTCCGAGCTATAAAACCCTAAAAACTGTAATGCATAAATGGCTCATGCGCATACCTCCAGTCGAGAGATAGACCACTCCTTCGGTAAAAGGGTATCTCAGGAACATCCCTAGTGAAGCTAGATGCACACAGGGGTCCTACCTACCCCCTTAACCCTCAATGAGTGTGTTCTGCACCAATATCCCAGTAAGGGTGAGATCCTATTGCTACCCGCTATCCCTAGGGAGTTAGGGCCATCCTTATCCCTTCAACCCTCAATGAGGTTCAGCTGTGCTCTGGCCCATCATCCTCAGCGAGTACGTAACCCCCATTGCTCATTATCCCTGTGGAGTCACATTGGCTCTCCTAATCCCCAGTGAAATCTCTTCCATCTACCACTCCTTGAGTGCTGCCATCTCCAACTAAAACCTCTCTTCTTAACCACCTTTATCCCTAGGAGTCAGATGGTCATTCACAATTCATCCCCTACGTAGCTTTACCTACATGACGACCCACACACTGGTCCATGCTGGATGACCTTAGACTACACAACTATGGTCCGTGCTACATGACCTTAAACTGCACAGCCATGGTCCGAACTATATGACCTTAAACTGTAGTGAAGGTCTTGTTGCACGACCTGCATAACCACGGTCCAAGCTATATGACCTTAAACCATAGTGCTCATCCTAACCACATGACATTAAGCTGATTTGCCCAGGTCTATCAGGCATGACCTTAAAGACGCCCCCACATATGCGCACCCACCTTTTACGCGCATCTTCACACACGTTTTCTCTAGCCGACCCATTCATGTGTGCACTCTACCTCCATTTCCTCCCCGGTGAGTCTACATACGTGCACACACACCCTTTACACTCATCTTTGCGCACGTCTTCCTTAGTCGGCCCATTTGCATGTGTGCACCACCTCACCATCATTACCATCATTTGCCCCAGTGAGTCTTACCCATGCTCACCAAACGGCGAACCCTTTCGCAAGCCATAGTTAGTGTCAGCTAGTGGGTCACCATTGCTCACCCACCATCTGGCCATCATCAATAATTCACAAGGAAACTTCATGCCATCTTCCCAAGTGAGTCAAAAGTCAACACCAAGATCACTCTATGGCCTCCACAAACTGCCATTCATCACCACTAGGATCCAGCTATATGACCTTAAACTATGGTGCACATCCTGGTTGTACGACGTTAAAAGGCTTCACACAGGTCTCGAAGGCATGACCCTAAACACACAATCTCAAAAAAAATGGGCATGGTGTACACCTAGACAAGGGAACAATATGAGTAAAAATGACGGACATGCATGGTCATGAAACCATGAGTAAGAGAGTTTCGTGGAAAACAAAATCCAGGTGCAGTGAAAACCTCGAAAGGGCATCGTGAGTAAAAAAGGAGGAAAAGGGTGGACATGAACACATGTCATGGGTAAAAGAGCCCAGAAATAACAAGAGTTGGTGAAACTATCTTCACGGTGCTAGTTCCCCTGTTCAAGTGAAAACCTGCAAAATGGCACTTGGACCGACAAGACTGGTTGACACAAGGCTGCCGCCTCAACCCACGTCCAGTTTCTAAACAGTCAAGATCCTGGCTAATGAGGTCTGCCAAAAATCCTCAAAAGCTAGCATCTACTCACAACACCAGGTGGCTCGTCAAGGAGTGAGAGCTACATAAGATCTCCGAATAACATGGCTCATCAGGGAATGAGAGCTGCATAAGATCTCCCAAGAACATGGCTCATTAGGGGGTGAGAGTCGCATAAGATCTATCAAGAACATGGCTCATCAGCGAGTGAGAGCCACATAAGATCTCCCAAGAACATGGCTCATCAGCGATGAGAGCCACATAAGATCCCCC